GAGGCACCTCCCGGGGCCGGGGGAAGCGAGCGGGGCCGGGCCGCGCTGCCCCCTGCGGCCGTTCTGTCCCGGCCTCTTCACTGCGGGCGGGCAGCCAGGGCGCCCCGGGCGGCGTTGCTTAGAGCCGCTGAAGGGATTAAAGCCACAGGAAACGATTCATTTCCTTCTCCCTGTCCCGCCTCCCCCCTGCTTTTCGTGGGCGAATTTCGCCCGAATTAAAAGATCCGGGGCTGAGACTGAGAACGGCGCTTCCCTTGGATGGTGGAGGGCTGAACGAGATTCGAGTGGCTGCAGGGAGAGAGGCGAGGGGTGGGTTGGCGTTAAAAGCCGGGGAAGGCGCCTGTGGAGAGCGGCGTCTCCAGTTGCAGAGCTGGAGGAGCCCAGGGGTCTGCAGGAGGCGGCCGGGCACAGCTTGCCCCTTGCCCTGGGGTTTGCTTGTGCAGTGCAGGGGGTGAGAGAGCATTTATTTAAGTCTTTAGAGCCGCAGTCTCCAGCTGCGGAGTCTGGAAACGACTGTGATGGTCATCTGCCAGTTTGTCAGTAGACTTCCAGCTTTGCAGGGTGGTATGAAATCCATCACCTCTCGTGCTACAGTTATTGTCTTTTGAGATTTGAATACTCAGTATGACTAGAACTGCTCTTGACTATTTGCTGAATCAGGGCCTTCTGCTGCATGTCTCCCGTAGAAGAATGGAGTATTTTTGTATGTGACTGTTTTTGAAATAGACCACGTGGATTATTGCCCAGGAAGCAGCTTTGGATGTGCATGAATTCTCAAAAAGTGTGAACTTGAGATGTGTACCCCAAATTGTTGCAGTTCCCGAAAAGATTGCTGTGAAGTCTAATGAGTAACTCTTTTTCCAAGAAATGTGCGCTTTTCCCTCCTTCACACCTATAGCTGGTGAAGGCAATTCATTTACAGTGGTTTTAAACAGAAGAGGCTTTACTCACACAATCACGAATAGTTTCAAGCAATTTAGAGCCTTTGTTTCCTGTGTGTTTCAACTGCAATCTCAGTATGTCCTACAAAAGTGATTTATTTAATTTTCATTTTCACCCCTGGAGTCTCAAATATCCTGGGGTTGTGGTTTGGGTTTTTTTTAAATCTAGAACCAATTATTTTAATTTCATTCTTATTTTTAGGAAAGCTTTTTTAGTTACTACTGCTTTTTATCAGAATTTTAAAATTTGCTTCCTGCAGAATACTCAGCAGGATAGTCTCAGTAAGCGATATGAGTATTTTGGCATTGATGCAGATGTGTAAGATTATCAGTTTAAATTGAATTTCTTATGCACAAGTATTTACAGGATAGGTGCTTTAGTTTTGGACAATATTCTAGGAACTAAAGACATTTTTCTCAGATGCTGTCCTGTTTATATTCAGAAATTACCTTTCTGTAACATTCCAAACAGGCAAACCCAATACAAATCAAGGTTCTGAGTCATATTTAGTTCTCGAAACTCCCGAGGTTCATCCAGTGGAGCAGCATTAAAAATAGTCTAGCTTATGAACTGTACCTAATACTGCAAAAGTAATTATAAAGGATCCATAATTCTTGGACCTAAATTTGCCAAGATTGAGACACTTGAGGTATAAACCTACTCCTTGCTGTTATTAAATTTATCTGTTGTAAAGTATAACTCCAGAGAAATACTTTGTCACTTTCTGGATTCAAATAAAATAGGAGACATAAATTATGTCATTTTGTGTGCCTATGTATAAAATATACTTACATGAAGAGTTTATGCCTCTGGTATAATTTATTTTCATCACAGTATTTGCAGCATCCTTTGCACAGATAAATATTTGTTGTGTTGTGTTTTCATTCCCTTAGTTACTTTTATGGTACAACATGAATGTGATTTCTTCTTTTTTAAAAATTTGCATAGAAAGAATGTGTTGTATTTCAGTAGTGTTTCAGCTGTGATGAAAGCTGTAATTATGTACAAAATTAAGCTGAAAATTATCTTAAGTATCTTTCAATACAGAGGCATAAAAAGGACACCCCCTTGAGGATTTTCATAATGTACTCTTCCTTTCAGAGGACTTGTATGTTTCAGCCTCTTTGTCATCACAACTTTTAACATTATTTTTGGTGAACCTGTTTTGTTTCATGACTAGTCATGACCCTTAAGAGGCAGAAAGGCAGTCAGGAGACTGCTTGGACTTCCCCAGTATTCCTAAATGTTTCAAGAAATTTGGAATAATATTGAAGAAGGAATGAAATAAGGGGCACACAAGCTAGGCACTTTCTGTCCAACCTGTCTGCTGTACAGCTTCTGAATGAAACAAATGGTTATATTGATGTAAAACTACATGAGAAATAAGATCTTTAATTTTCTTATGAAATCTTTAATGTGTCACATAGTGTTAATAATAAAATGAAATATATATTTCTAGAAGCTATAGAAATCTGCATAAAATTACTTCCTTTCAAAGAGCACAAAATTTTTGGTATTGAATATCTAAAACTACACTTTTGTAACTTTTTAAAATGCCTCCATATCTGGTTACACTTTTTAGAATCTGAAGCTTTAGGTTTTGCAGTTATTTTCACGATGAAGTAGTGTGTGAAAATGTATGTATCTGTGGAAGTTTTCACCTAAACCTTGCCAATTTTATAGAACAGAACTTAATACATAACTGTGAGTGTAAAATCCTTAAATGAGGTCTGAGGCACTAAGAAGGTTCTTGACTTTGGAAACAGTCCATGTGTTACACTATATAACCTGTACCCATATACTTCAGTGGCTAAGGCTGTGCTAGTGTGCTGAGTCTGATCTTCTGTGACTTTCTCTCCCCTATCTCTTTAACATAATTGAGACTGATTAAGTTGTCCTTGAGTCCCACCTTGATGTATCAGTTTACCTTCAATGGGGAAGTTCTTGTCCCTGAACTGCCACTGGAAGTACTTCATCCCTTTCATTTGGAGTCCTTCTGTATCATTATTTGAAGTGCTATCTAACACCCCCTCTTCAGCACTTATAATCAATGCAATTTACCTTTCTTCTGGTGTTTTTTTCCTTCTGTATTACCTTCTCTTTCCCTCTGATCTGCTGGATGAAATCTTAGTTTTTTTCTGTCTTCTTCCAGTTGCCAGGAAATCAGCACACTGGAAGGTAATGCTTTCATTTAGTAAGCAAAATATGTGAACAGCATCTCTAGACAGCTTGTTATTTAATAAAATAATCGAAGCCCTTTTTTGTAGGAAATTCCAGCTGTAACAGAAAAAGCAGCCTTTGCGGTAGTGTACTACAGTTACATCATGCTTTACTATACATATGCAGCAGGCTTTAGTTAGCAAATTTATAAGTTGTGCTTGCTTCACTGTGTGGTATAAACTAGAGGAAATTTTTAGTATACTGCTGTACTTTTTTCTTAAAAAAACAAAATAATAATTTTGTTAATGTTAAATTTCTACTTGCGTTCCTACAACAAATCCTAACAATAAATGCTCAGAACTTGTACAGTAGATTGCTTTTTCTTAAAATGCTTTGGTCTCTTCCTACAGAAGGCTACTGTTCTATCTGCTAGTATGTAGTATAATTAAAACTATTAAACCTACTTATGCACTTAACTGACACACAGAGTACAGGATTAGCACGCTAAAACAAAAAATAAACAGAACAGCAGCTAGAGGTCTTTGATACTTAAATAAATACTTTTTTTGTAGTTGTACTGTTTAATATCTGATCCTGGCATTTTAGCATGTTGTAGAAACATGCAAAACCAATGCTGAAGATACAGAAGGAAAAAAATCTGTGGAATTCGTACAAAACACATAACTAGAGTAACACCCCCTGGGATGTATCTTCTCAATTTACTGCATAGGTTTTGTTTTGAGCTATGACAAGTGGTTTTGTTATGCAGTTATAGCCAACAGCTACCCCACCACCAGAACACAGAAGAGATTCAGTGTTGCCTTTGTTGATCTGTGTCTAAACTTGTAGAGGGCTGAAAATATTTTAAATTAGAAATTGTGTTTTCTACAAGCTGCATGTATAATATTAACCTTTCCTAAGTGACAAATTTTGGAAAACTGATGGTAAGGTAAGATATTTCTTATCATTGTGCTTAAAGCTCAACTAAAGCAAAATTAACATGCAGGGAAGAAGGCACTTCAGTATAGAAAGTTTAGTCATGTATTTAGTTTTGTTTAAATTTTTGTTAGAAGTAGTGACCAAATTGTAAATTATCCTTGCCAGTGTCCCTCAGAGTTGTGAAACAGCATCTTTACATAAGTCAGTGTATTCAGGTAGATCTAAAAGAGAGATGGTTTCTAAAGCTGTTCAGTTTTGCAGGATACCTTTGCCATCACTCAAAGGCACGTTGGACTGTACAGGCACAGGTATGCCAGCTTGTTACCACCATTTGCAGAGGGGCAAGAAGTAGTTTAGGCAACTGGGATGAGCAGTTGCTGCTTTTGCAGCCGCTGTCTCATTTGGGTGCAGAAGACTGCTGGCATTTTGTGAGCCACTAATAAGCAACTTCTGCATGGCTAGTCATACTGGTAATCTCTCTTCTATAATATAGAATAAATTAATTTGCAGTTGAATTCATTTTTGTGTTGTGAAATTCACAGGAGTTTTGGCATGTTTTCTTTCTCCTCAGCCTTACCTACCCATTGTCACAAGGTCAGAAGTAAAAAATGTACTCTTACTTTCATTTCATTGTACAAGTTGCCTAGGAGATTGCTGTTACAAGAAAACTGGTAAGAGTTCCATGCTGGAGTTAGTTTATGTGCATGCTGTCTTTTACAGTGTGAATGGGAGGTCAAAACAGCTTCCTCTTTCTTCTGCATCAGAGCAAATAGCACCAATTCAACTAAACATCAGTCCTCTCTAGATTGTCCTCTATTATGGCTTAAGTGCAGGAATTAATCTTTTTAGGTTATAAACTGGCAATATTGTAAGCCTATTTTCTGCTTCTAGGTAGTGGAAACTTACTTTCTTGCCATTCTCTGTTTCCATCTGATGGAGAACCAAGAAGGAAACAAAAATACTGTCTCGCCCTTGTGTTCTGCACTTGTATTTTGTTGCAAAAACAAAGAAATTAAGAATATTATTAGATTAAAATACCTCATAGATGCTTTGTGAGCAAATTTTGAAGATAAGTAAAACAGTTCCTCATTGAGAATTAACTAACCATAAATAGAGTAAATAAGATCTGTCATATTCTTGAAAGCTAACATTTTAATTTAACAGCAAGGAAAATTTTGGCAAGGACATACACAATTACTAACCTAGAGTCTAATTTCTATTATTCCCATGATTGATTTGCAAACTGTACATCCACATGGTTGCCTGTT